ACTGCAGAGTGTGGGAGGAACCCACACTGGAGCATTTCGGGAAGAGCTGCAGCCTGTGGGAAGTACTGTGGCAGACAGATGTGTGGACGTTTGTCTTAAACATTTCTTGGTACAGAGGAAACCACAAGCAAGAACGAAACACCAACTTCTGGCCCTGTGGAGGTAGGATTTAACGATACATCCTGTGGTTTTGAACTAGGCAGGAACCTGTGACTTTAATGTCTGTCAACAACTAACTGCAGGTGTAGGGTGGTAGGTGGTTGACCTTGACGAGGGTCTCATGATGCAGCCCCCAAGATATTCTCACTGTCACTTACTTGGGACACCATGAGCTGCCTGTGCCAAACCAGACCACACCTACCATCAGATGACACCCCGCTCACCATTCATATGCACGAAGTTTATTGGAACGGGGTGGAGATTTTGGCACTCGGACTGTATAAAAATGGTATCATCAGAAGCTAGGGGTGGACTCCCACCACCAAGACACCCAAGAATCAGGAGGACCAATGGGACACTGCTGGATTCATGGGTGATGATATCTTTCTCTGTCTATCTTTCTCCCCCCGCACTTTCTCTTTAATGAATTATAACTAGATCCAAGTAAGAATGTGTAGCATGGGACTTGCTTATCCAGTTAAGTTGTTGCCATTAAGTTATTGAATCTAACCACTTGCCTTGTATTTTGTATTAATAAATTGTTAAACTGGTTGCCTGGTGTTGTTTCACCTTAATTTAGTCTAAGGGTATCTTGAACTTGGTGATAGGTCCCAAAGGGAGGGAGGCTGTCCTAAATGGCTCCTTCCAGGCTGTGACAAGTACTCAGGTTGGAGAAAGTTCGTGGAGGACTGTCTCTTGTGAGAGGGACCCCGTGCTGGACCGGGGGAAGAGTGCGAGCAGTCCTCCCTCTGAGGAGGAAGGAGCGGCGGAGACAATGGGTGATGAACTGACCATAGCCCCATCCCCTGCCCTCGTGCATTGCTGGAGGGAAGGGGAGAGAGAAATGGGGAGCAAAGCTGAGCCTGGGAAGAAGGGAGGGGTGGGGGAAGGTGTTTTTAAGATGAGGTTGTATTTCTCCTTATCCTACTTTGACTTGATTGGTAAATTAGCAGTGGTGGTGGTGTTCACATTAAATTGATGTGGGGCTTTTTCCCAAGTCAAGTCTTTTGTCCATGACCATAACTGTTGAGTGAGTCCTCCCCGTCATTATCTTGATTCCTGAGCTTTTTGTTGTATTTTCTCCTTCCCCATTCCTGAGGCGGAAGGAGTGAGCGACCAGCTGTGTGGTGCTTGGTTGCTCTCTGGGTTCAAACCATGTGTCCTGGGTTGAGTGAGTGGTGGAGTTTTTTGGGGGGCAAGGGAGGGGGCTATAGGGATGGCCCCCTGTGAGGAACTCATGTTGGAGAAAGTTTGTGGAGGACTGTCTCCTGTGAGAGGGGGACCATGATGGAGCAGGGGAAGAAGTTCCAGAAGCTCCCCCCACCAAAGATGGAAGAAGCAGCAGCACTGACTGCACCCCCCCATTCCCTGCCCCTGTGCCACTGAGGGGAGGAGGTAGAGATATCAGGAGCAGAGCTGAGCCTGGGAAGAAGGGAGGGGTGAGGGGAAGGTGTTCTTGAGATGTGGCAATGCTTCTCACTGTCCTACTCTGTTAAGTATTGTTGTTAGTGTCTGTTAGAAATGTATGTTATTTTTTTCTTCCCCTAACGAGTCTGCCTTTTGCTTTCACTCGTGACCATAAAGGGTGATTTTTCCCCTCCCGGTCCTATCTTGAATCCCAAGCCCAGCTCATCTGTCCCTTCTTATTGCTGGAAGAGAAGGGAGAGAGTGGATGCGTGGTGTTTGGCTGCCGACCAGGCTCAAACCATGACAGTGATCAACGCATGAACACCCCATATAAGGACATAAGGAAGTATGCAAAATGTTAGGCAATGCAGTGCTGTTAAGCTGATGGAAAAATACTGTAACTTTTGAAACGTATATAAGCAGCCTGCTTGCTGAAATAGTGTCTCAGCATCACCCGTGACCTGAGTCCGTGCCGTTAGTCACCACAAATGGTGCCTGAACAGGGACATGAATAGACAATCCAATGGTCATACCAGTGGCGTTGCTTGACTGAACTTGGAGGGCTGAAAGGAAGCTCCAGGCGCTCCTCACAGACCTTTTCTGCAGGACAGAAGGTACGCGGCCAAGAACGATGAGAATTCTCTGTCGCCAGAGCTCAGGAATGTTCTTGACCTGATGAAGCGAATGCTAAAGCAACACAATCAAGATTTAGACAGCAATGACCTTAAAAGACTGCTACTCTGGGCTCGAGATCATGACCCGCTTTTAAACAGCACCAACGTCTTTGGTCCCAAAAGATGGGATGATATAGGGGTCAAGCTTTGGGATCAGGCTACTCGGGGAGACAGAATTTCTTCCAGGCTCTTGGCCGCTTGGCGGATCGTGTTTGAAGCATTAAAGTCCCATGTGGTGCCTGGTGATTTACAGGATGATGATGGCACGGAACTGTTGCCTGCTGCGACAGATTCAGTGGAAGTCTTAACCCCAGCTGCTCCACCAGCAAAAGTGTGCAGCAAGAGATTTCTAGAAAGCCCTGTCTGATGGGGGCTGTTGGAGGCAACCCTGATACGGATCCCTGGAACTCGGGGCCTTTTGACCCAGAGAAGGAACCAGACCTGTACCTTCCCAATCCACGTGATAAATGGGTTGTGGCACGCAGACAAGCTGCACAGCAGGGGGGATTTCGATATGTTGAAAGCATTCCCTGTTATATATACTCCTAACTAACAGCCTAAGTGGGAGGCTATATCGTACTTGATCCTTAAAGAACTCTCTCGGTCGGTACAGGACAATGGCCTGGGGGCCCCCTTTCACAATCGCCATGGTAGAAAGTACAATAGATTCCTATAACCCAGTCCCTCACAATTGCAAAGCAATAGCTAAATTAATACTTACAGGGATGCAACTCATGATGTGTATGTTGGAATAGCGGGAGGCATGCTCGGCACAGGCGGTAGAAAATTTGTTGTGTCCGCAGGGACACCGACTTCAGCGTATTACTGTAGGAAAATTAATGGGTGAAGGTGCTTATGCCACTACAACCGCTTAAGATCAATTGCCCCTTGACACAATAAATCAATCTGAGACCTTGGCGATGAAAGCCTTTTCGTAAAGTCCCTGACACCGGAACCATGCAAACCTGCTGTGTAAATATCTGCCAAGAAGCCACAGAGCCTTTCATGAAGTTTTTAGACAGGCTCAAAGCTAGTCTGGACAAACAGATAGACAATTCCACAGCCTGTGGTTCGATATTTAAGCAGCTTGCAATAGAAAATGCGAACCCGGACTGTCAAAAGGTATTAAGAGCATTAAAGGCACCCACAGTCACAGAGATGATACGAGCCTGCCAAGGTATAGGGTTGGAGAGTCATCAACTGAGACATTTGCGGCCATGAATATGCACCCCAATTCTGGCATTTGTTTCAGTTGTGGTCATTTGGGACCCTTGTGATGAGAATGCCCAGAAACAAAAAAGGGGGCAGACACCAGACCAGGTATTTGTCCCTGGTGCCGAAAAGGACGACATTATGCTAAGCAATGCAGATCCAGGTTTACAAAGGAGGGGCAACTGCTCCTGGCACGGTCTAGCCAGCCTCAGAGAAACTTGTCACAGAGCATGACGGGGGGTCACACCCTGACACCAAATCACCCTCCTGCCCAGCGCTCATTCCAACAAGGGAACTTTGTGCCGGAACAACACGCAGGGCTGGAGTGGACCTGGCCACCGCAGTCACGGTAGATCTAGTGTCCACAGCAGTGCATCTTATTCCCACATGCTTGCGGATCCCTTGGAAACGGTTGCAGTGCATTGATCATCCACAACTCAGCAAGGCTTATTCATCCTACCTGGATTGGTTGACTCAGATTATAAAGGGGAGATAAAAATAATGGCATGGACCCCTACTCCACCCTGTCGTGTCCCTGTGGGAGCAAAAATAGCACAACTTGTGTATTTCCATGCTCATTCACCTGGACATTTGAATCGAGAAAGCAGGGAGAGGGCATTCGGATCCACTGGGGAACCTTAAAACATGCGGGCTCAGCCTCTCACACATAGCTGTCCTTCCTTGAAATGTGAACTAATCCATAGTTGTTTGTCTGCAAAAATTACTTTAACAGATTTGATGGACAGTGGTGCTGATGTGACGGTAATTGCACAATCTGCCTGGCCATCTAACTGGCCGTTGATGCAGTCAACTAATGCCCTAGGGGGGGTGGGTGGCTTAACCACCCCAAAACAGAGTCCCGACCTTATAATTATCAAGGGGCTGGAGGGCCGTACCGCATGCGTCAAACCGTATGTACTACCACTTCTCATCACACTTTGGGGAAGAGACTGTCTTGCTTCTTGGGGTATTGTCATGGGGATGAATTTGTCATAGGGGCTGCTGAAAGGCAGCAAGTCCTGGCCCTAACATGGACAAAGGATAATCCTGTACGGGTAAATCAGTGGCCCCTACCTCAGGACAAGCTGCAACATTTGCATCAACTGGTACAAGAACAGTTGCAAGCTAGACATGTTGTTCCTACTACCAGCCCTTGAAACTCCTCTGTGTTTGTTATCCAAAAGCAGCCCACTTGTTGAAATAAAGTGTCTCAGCATCACCCATGATCTGAGTCCATGCCGTTAGTCACCACAAATGCAAACTTAGTTTTCTTAATCCAGCTGATAATGATGATGAACTGAGGTTGTGCTTTTCATTTTTATGGTCTTGACAGTGACGAGAATTGTTTTTGACTATTGGCTAAATTGTGTGTTGCATGTAGTCAAGTTTCTCCTCTGTTTAGCAAGAATTTTACAGTTACTACTAGTTGGCTTCTTAGTCTTGTTTACATATCTCAGTCATGTTTCTGAAACATATATATGTCCTCAAGTTCTTCAGCAGTTACCTAATTCAAGGATATGACTGTTTTATCCCCTGATTATTTTTCAGGAAATACCCCGTGTAACATTAGCAGTCTGAAATCTTTAGCTTGTATCCAAAAGCCTGTTTTCTCATCTGTTTCCTGCATCACTGTAAGTATTGCCTTAATACTGTTCTTGATGTTTTTTATGACTTTCATGTATGACTTTGTTTTCCTGTTTTCTTTTGTTATTGGTATCTTTTGACAGCAGAGAAAGTGAAAGAGTGAAGGAAGATAGAGCTATCTTCGAATCTTGATAATAACACCTGGAAAACTATAACTTTGTGGCTTTTACAGGCTAGATCTGAGTCATGCTTCTAATTCCTAAGTTTGAAAGCAAGAGAGTCGTAAAATCCAGAAGAGCCCATGAGAGAAAGTCAGGAGCCTTGGGTGATCTGGGAGAAATGACCTGAAACGTTTTTTTGAGAAATTGTCTAACACCCTGCACAAAGCAGGATGTTTGTTCTGCCCTAGGTGGGTTTGACCATACTGAGAGGAACCTACTGAGATGTAAACAGCATTCATGCTTGTAGGTCATCATGGCTTTTTGCGCTTTTCCATTTTTGAAGATGTGTCTAACAACTTTCCAGAGGTCGTTCAGAAGTAGCATGCTCACCCAGTTGGCCTTGTTGGTAATCAGTGTAAATTCTGGAATATAACATGAAGAGCTAGAGATTTGTGACTTTGTCACCTCCTGGAGGTATACTTACTGCAATAGCAGAGGTCATCTCCATGCTTCGTTCCATCAGCCAACTGAGTAAATTAACGCTACCAAACAGAATTAGGGGTGGTTTGCCTGTAGCTACATGTGCTGTTAACTAGTCACAGAGTTGTGTTTTTCAAAAACTAGTAATTGCCCACAGTGTCAGGGAAGAGCAAATGACATGTAAAATAAAAACAAGTAGTCTGCATTATTATGAGAGATTTTTACTGAACCCAAATAAATTGTCTCCTTTTGTTATATTTGAGGGTATAATTGAGCCTGGGTCTTCTTGTCAGAAAACTCTGACCTGTATCATATTCTATAAGTGCTTCTTATGCTCAGCTCTTAAGCGTGGCTTATTGTATCATGTTATACAAATACATTGGGTTTTTTTCATTGTTGTTGGATGAGAAGCTAAACATAACAATCTATTGTTAAATTAAAAAGTTGAATGATAATATAATTAGCAGAATAATGTGAGGATTTTGTTATTCATTAGACAGTCAATAGAATTGTTAGTTGCTGCTCTGTCTTTTTGTACCTTAACTGTGTTCTGGGAAATAATTTATGCAACTCGACATTGGCAACATTGATGTCCATGGGATGTGCCAGTGGAGTTACTCTTCTACCTGGCAATTTAAGCTCAATAGTTCTGTTCATAATACATTCTAAATCACTTTTTGGAAAGTGAAATACATTTGATTGAAAGATTAAGGTTTTAATTTTTTTTTTTTTTTTTTTTTTTTAATTTTAGCATTTAGTTTTTTGACTGAAGAAAAAGAAATCAAGAAAAGATGGACTGGAATGTAAGATCATTCCAGAATGCTGATGCAAAAAACAACCTACAGAGTGAAGAAGCACGTTATACTCAGTTGCTTTCTAATACACATGCTTTTCCTCAGACAAATGCCTGTTCTTCTAAAAATGCATGCACTTATGCTGGAAATAACCAGGTGGTGTATATGCCAACTAGCAATGCTGCTTTCCCTTTTGTAAATGCTGAAGGATTCAAAACTTCAGATCAGGCATTACCAGGAGCATCTGTAGCTGGCAATGATTTTTTTATCTCAAAATACTCAGTCAATCAACATTCACAGTCCTTTGTACCAATAGCTCCAAAACCTCCCAATCAGACACCACGTTTGCGGGCAGAGATGACTCAGACTTCTTGGACAAATTCTAATGCCTGCAATTATTCCCTTAGAAGGTTACCTCCCCTGTCTTCTCAAATGAACACTGGAAATAACTTGAGGAATATACTTCGGGAACCTCAGTATGCCATCACAAACGGTTACAGCGTGCAGGCGCAAATACCGCAGCATAATTCCATGAGAACTACAATGTTGTATCAAAATAACATTTATTCCCATAATAATTCAATGTCTCTTGGTACATCTGAGCAACATGTCCAAAACCAAATATATTATCCCAACAGTCAGTTTAAAGTTTTACACTCACTGAATCAAAATACTGAAGCAAATGTACAGCTGCTAAAATATCGACCAAGTCAGATGGGATCAGAAGCTCGTAGTGGATGTTCTGCACCATCTTTGTTGCCTGCCAACTGTGATTCAAGAGCTGCAGCACAGTCTTCAATAGGTGTACCACAGGCAGTTCAAAATGTGCCTAATGGATGCACCCTTAGCCAACAGAGGCACCCATCAGATCCAACAAATGCTTCTGGTTTTAACAGTGTTCAGCAGCACTGTCAGAAATGGCGATCTGGAGAAGTCAGCCAATCAGTTAGCAATGTCTGTAATTCAGGTGGAAATGTGACAGCAAATCAGCCTTTTAATCAAATGTCTGTGCCATCCCCTGGCATTTCCAAACAACTGTATGATGATGTGCATGAAATGGAAACTTTTTCTTCAGTGGCTGCTTCAAAGCCACTGAGTGATCCTGCTTCAGTTCAAGAAAGCCAGACGAATAATTCGATGAACGGGCCTGTGAATTCTCAAATTTCTTCAGCAACAGCAGATGGAAGACCAATTACGAAGGACAGACTAGCTTGGGAAGCTCAAAAGCTGCTCGCTATTAAAAAAAAAAGTGTCCTGCTTGAAAGGTTGCATCATATTAGAAGAAAACTCTTAACAGCTTCAGAACATGACAAAAGTACTCCCCCACTTCCTGCAAGTTATCAAGCTGCTCTTCATAATCATCTTCAATGGGTGCCCAACCAAAACATACCACCTTCCCCATCTGAAACAGTGAGGACAGAGTGTCCAATACTTAACTCTTCACCCGAAGAAAGAAATGACAAAAACATAGCCAACGCTGATAACAGATTAGAGCTGACTCAAAATAACCCTCAAGTGGAGCCAGGAAGCCTTTCACCAAGCTCTGTTCCTATTCCCTCTCAGAGCAAACTTACAGCTCAGTTAAATAATCCTGAGATCACTCCTGTCTTGGAACAAAGGGATGCATCTGCCTTGGCCTCTTCTCAAAAAGCTGCGACATCCTTGAACAATGCCTCAGGTTTTAGTCAAGTGAATAGCTCTACCGAAAGTGCACCAAAGAATGTGCCAGCTTACCCCAAGAACTCATCATTTTTTCAGTTTGTAATGAGCAGCACAAATATATTGAAAGAGAAGACAGCTGGTGCTACTGCTGATAAAATACTGACTAGTCTCCTATGTAGTGAAAAACCACCGAGAGATATGTCTGTCTCAGGTGGAAGCTTACTAAAAGACACTAGTGAGAAGAACGTAGAAACTTTGAAAGGTGAGCAGGCATTTATGGTTCACACAAACTCTCCTGCATCAGAAACAACTGATTCTGGTGAAGCTAAATTCCAGAGTGATGTAGCTCAGAAAAAAACACCGTTTACTGAAGATACATCTTTTAAACAGAACAATTATAGTTACTCTGTGGAAGAGCTAGCTGCATGCCTGGGCTTGTGGAGAAAGCATCCATCAGGATCTGGAAGTGTACAAAATAGCCAGTCAAATGAAAGCCCCACAGCACGTCAGATTTCACCTTGCAGCCAAAACACAAAAAACAGAGAACAGAATAATGTTGTGGTTAGTACAAATGAAGCAATTTTGCCTATAACTGCTTCTGTAGCACAAAAGCTTGATACATTGACTTGCAATTTGATAAAAAGTTTTGAACTCCAAGTTGCAGTTGTCTCTCCTTTAGTACTTTCTGAACAGAAAACACAGAGTGAGGAGGCAGACAAATGTCCAACATCTGTAGTGAAAACCTCTCCGGTGATTGACTTGGGAAGCACATGTAGCTTGCAAGAAAAGGGGAAAAATGGTTTAAGTGTGGTAAATACTGATAAAGGAACAGTAGAAAATGTTCAGTCATCACCCACTGGTTGTGTTCTGGTACAGAAAGTGGACTCAGATTTGCAACAGACAGAATCAGATAATGGAAACAGAATAGTGAAAAACAGTGTGAGTGCAAATGATTCATATGACAAAAACCAAAGGAAAGTTAGTCAATCTGCACAAGATGCTGGAGAAAATCTGCAGCTTGGATTACAAAACAAGCCTTTTCTTCCTGAATTGGGCATAAATTTTTCTAGCCAAATCTTTCAAGAAGGTATAAGAGACCATAAAGACAAGCCACCTGTGTTAGAAACAGGAGATACATCCAGAGCTGTGTTGGAAGAACAGATGTTTTGTATTTCTAGTGTATGTTCTCTTGTTGAAGGTGATACATTTTATAATGCACAAATAGCAGGTATCTTCAGGTCAGTCCCTGAGACACGTGCATTAAATGGTGCCTCATCAGAACAAAATGCATCTGACCCAAAACAAAAGGAACAACAGCTGGATTTGAATAAAAATGAGCTGAACAATAACACTCCCCAAAGAGTGACCTTGTTGCATAAGATGGAAGAAACATCAAGCTGCATGAGTAAAGCAGGTAAGATTTGCAATGGTATCACAACTAGCCAGTTGGGGAAAGAAAGCCGTGGCAATCCTCTTAAAACAATTTCTACCTCAGAACAAAAAACGTCATTCAATGCATCTTTCAAGCATCCTGAAAATAGCTTGGAAATTCTTGCTGGTATGAACCAGCAATTAGATCAAAATTCACTAGATTTCTCAATCAGTGTAACTGCTGAAACAGATGTGTTCACTGTTCCAAGAGACAACAGTAACCAAAACCACATGTCCAGTAGAAATAGCACAGAAAAAGAGATGAATCTTTTGGGAACAGGACCTGTTAAATGTCTAAATAATCAGCTGTCTGAACTAGTGAAAGAGTTTCCATATGGCATTGAAGGTTCTGATATGCTAACAAAAGAACCAGTACGAAACGATTCTGTGGCTGAGCAGATGGACAATCAACCTCAAAAAGAGACTCAAATTTGTGACAAGAGTTCTCATTTGAAGGATCCAGTAGATCAGATAAAAATTGCAGTGTTAAGCTCTGATCAGATGGAAGAACTGTTTCCTGAACACAAACAGTGTTCCTCTAGTGACAAGGAGAGAGTAGCAAGTCAACGGTCAGAAGAGGCATCCGCTGAGGAGAACCTTGAAGGCACTATGCAGCCTTGTCAGAATCCATGTGAGAAGAAAAAAAGAACACAGAAAACTTCCAACCCCAGGAAAAAAAAAGATTGTTCTTTAATGAGTTGTCTGTCTGCAGCATGTAAAATACCACAGTGCCCATATAAAGTTGGAACATCTGGTTCAGAGAGAAATGATCAATGTGCAAAAGCTGAAAATACTAGCTCTGCAGAGAGACAAGAAAACAGCAGTAAATCTGATGCCGTAGTGAACTGTACAGAAGGAAACCTGATTTCTGAAAAAAACCCAAACAGTGTTAGCAAAAATAAAGAAGATACTTGCAAATACACCTCTGTGATGAACAAACAAGCTAGTCTAAAGGTGAATGATGAATACAAACTGGTTGCAACACAACAGGAAAAAATTGGACCACTTAATTCCTCTGAAAATCGGGATGTTGATAAATCTAAAAGGAGCCACTGGAAGGAAGAGCTGCAGGTCGACAGAGGAACCCCACTGATAGGCAAAGGATCTCATTCTGACAAAAAAGAACATCAGACAGGCTCAGAAGAGTTACCAGAGAAGGCAGGTCATACAGATGCAGACAACATGACAAAGTCATCCAAAAAGAGAGCTTTAAAAGAAGAGCCCCTTTCAAAAGATAAAACCAAACCAGGTTTGGTCATAAAATCCAAAGCAGATGTTTGCAAACTTATGAAGTCAGAAACTGTTGAAATTAAGCATGCTGAAGCCAATCAAGGACAAAAAAGTAAAACCTGTGGAGAGAACTCAGCTGAAGAACAGAACTGGAGGAAACAAAAGGAGATGCTTGGGCAAGATGCAGGAATTAACATAAAAGAGAAAGCCAAATTATCAGCAGAAATAGAACATGAAAAGCTGAATAGTTATTGTGTTGATGCTGTAATGTTCCCAAATTTTGGCACTGTAGACTTAAAGTCAAGAAACTCCAAATATTCTCAGCATAAATCTATGAAAGTTCATCCTTCACAGGAGCAGTCGTACAAACGGAAGAGGAGGGAAAATATGATTGGGAAGAGAGACCCTAAGAAAACAAAGGTGGAAGAGGAAAGACTGAAACAATCTGAAGTAAAGAATTCCAAGCAGCTTTCATATAATTACCTGATAAATACTGACAAAGGTAAAAAATTGAATGGAGAAAATGTCTGGAAACCAAAGAGTTCATTAGCAGATCGCTCTGTGCTTAAACTACAGAGAAGAAGGGCTCGATCTTCTAACATCTCTAAAAACTACTTTTCTAACAAAGAGAGATGTCTTGATGCTCAAAACAAAGACAAGTGCTCTGAGAAAATGTTTCCTGATAAAAACCTGCTATATTTAAATAGAAGAAATAGCAGATTGAAATTACATCTTCAAAAGGAACCAAAAAAGCAATACCTGAACAGAGTCGCATTTAAACGTATGGCACAGGAACGCATATATCTGACAAAATTAGAGACATCACCTGTCAGACCTGTCCGGCATATAAAGCCCAAAGTGTCACAAAAAAGCCCAAGTGTGAAAAGAGGTGCTTCTGTCTCAGAAATTGAGAAATCATGCAAACTGGAAGTACTTGAATTTAAGCTGTGTCCAGAGATACTGTTCAGAAATCCAACCACTGATGAAGAAAGCTTATCTGCAAAGAATTCCCTGGAGAGAGAGAAAGTCATTGTGGCAGGTATGTTGCTATCTGGATTACTAATTTGTAAGTAAATTAATTTGCAAGTAAAAAGTATGTACTCCTTTTTAAATTCGTTACACAAAACTACAGACTGAAAAGATGGGACTAGAAGCTGAAGGCTGAAATAGTTTAGTTAGCTTCCTGACAGACTGTAGCTGTGTGTTAAGCTGAAAAAGAACATGAGACTTTTCCTTCATTTTCACGTTTTACTCTTTTTCCATAAGTTTTACAGAACAGAGTTAGAGTAGTTTAGAGCATGGCAGTTTCAAGTAACTTCGCAAGAAGGCTTTCTAACCTACTTGTAGAAGATAGACTGGCTTGTTTATAGAAAGCAGATTCCCTTGACATAGTTTGCAAAGGTGATCTGATTTGTATTCAGTGTCCACCTGGTTGTGTATAAATCTGGCTGGGTAAACAGCGGTGGGAGAGATCTTGTGTGTCATTGAGGAAGAGAGAGGGCTTGAGCCAGACGTGTGCTGCACGCAGTCTCCATAATCTTTGCTATCTTTGCTTTAAGCTGCCTTTTTTCCTCTTCTTCCATGTCCCTAATCTTTCAACATTTTGCATGGTGCTTCGTGAAGCATATTTGTGTCAGATATTGTATTTGATTTTAAATAAAACCAAATCTTAAGTTGTACGTGCCAGTCCTTGCAGTCATTTTCACACCCAAAGGAAATTTCCTTTTGCACGTGCTAGTATATGTGTTAGGAACCTCAAAAACGTCGTGTTGTTTTGTTTTGTTTTGTTTTTAATTTAGGTGTCAAGAGTAAGAAAGAAGATTGGTTAAAATGTGGTCCAGTGAAGCAAAAAAAGCTGGAAGAGATCTCTACAGGTGAAATGACTTTTGAAATATAAGTTAAATACCCTTTGCTTGATTTTAAGTGTTCCTTTCCAGTAGCAAATCTTAATCAAGTATTTTAACTTATTCTTTACTGGCTCTGCTGCTGAAGTGGATACCGTAGAGTAGAAATGTGAGTTTCAAAGATTTGTGGGGATTTTGATTGCCATAAGAATATGTTATTGGAATTTCCTGGGTATGTATGTGCAGTTGAATCAGAGGTAGCACTGGTGACAAGATTCAAGTACAGTTTTAAACTGTAGATAAAGACCAAGCTAGCTCTTTCCCACTTTAAAATGTAGGAAGTGATGTAACAAAATCTAGTGTGAGACTATAAAACCAGAAAGTGATTTTAAAATTTTATTTGGCTTTCACAGTTAGTTGACACTGTCTGCACTTAAACCTGTGCTCACAGGTACCAAGATCTGTGTGTCCCAGTAGTCTGGACAGGATTACTTGTATGACAGACAGAGGAAAAGCGGTGCCACCACTACATCTTCTGTGTTTCTCTTGATTGGAAAATTACTTTTTGGATGGTCTTATGTACCGTTTAGGTGTCAACAGTTAGAACAGTGGCATATTTCATCTTGGGATCTTGGTTGTTCCGTCATTTGTAAATCTTGGGTGAGGTTGCTCCCCCCTGTCTTTGTTTCTTTCTCTTAGGTATCTTTCTAGCTACAGTCTTGTTTTCCTACTGGTCAGGAAGCAAAAAGTTGTATTCAGCATATTGTAGCCTTGTTGCCACCCTCCTCTTATCAGGGTGCAAGTACTCTGCTGACAAGTTATCTGTGTTGAGGTCTTGATGCAAGCAACACATTTTGCGATGTTTACATCTTTTATTGTTGTCGAATGTGTCGTTGGCTATTGATGTCTGCCATTCTTTTAGCCCTTCCTCATGTTTCTTTTCTTACTTTCACAGATGCACATTTTCATTCACACCTTTCTTAATATCCTTTAGAAATCTCTCTTACTGAAGACACCAGAATGACCATTTGGTGCTTAAAGATGCATTGGGGATTGATTTAAATCTGAGGTGCCTGGTGTTTTAGGAAGGAAGTTTTGTGGCATCCTTTTTGAGAGTGGGTGGCCTTAAGTAGCACATGCATAAGAAGTAGAGTCATTTGAGACTCCATAGACTTTTGCTTTAACCTGATTCTCTGTCTGTCTTTCAGCTGAGGACAGTATTCCACTTGATACAGCTATACAGATCCTGGATGGAGATGGCGAGGCTCTTCACATTCCAGTCAAAGACTCAAAAGAGATATTTCAGACCTACAGGAAAATGTATCTGGAAAAAAATATGCAAAAGACTTGATAGCACTCTGTATCATAGGTCTTATTCAGTATCACTGGGAAAAATATGCTAACACTAAAATGCTTTTTCCTGTTTATTTCATATTTCTAAATAATTGTTTAAAAAAATACATTTTCTTTTGAGTGTTGGCAATTTTCCCCCCTATTTGCCTCATATTTGTGAGTGACTGAGATCTTACTCTGTATTTATTTCACAAATATGCTTTGGTGCCAAAAATACCATTGTCAGATGTATTGTTTCTTTTGGGCATATTTGAATCTTATTTTTTTAAAGGATACAGGAGTTAGTTCAATTTTGACCAAGAAAAACTGAAACTCATTTAAGTTGTCATAGTCTTGTTTTCTGATTCTGGAAAACTTCTACTTGTACTTTCCATTGCTGGCAGTGGAAAAATATTCCTACTGGAAAGGGACTGCAGTGGATTCTCAAGCATTACACCTTTGTTTTCTACTTAGGCTAGTCTGACTGTTATGCTTCTAACAAGGCTTTTTATTTTTGTAGAAACTTTTTTTTTTTTTTTTAAACTGGGAATACAAATATAAAACCTTCACATCAAACAGACAGATCAGGGGATACCATGAAGTGTTTATGCTGCTACCCAGTTTTCTTACTTTTTTTTTTTTTTTGTGGAACTTCTACAAATTGAGTTCTTCATCTGAACACGATGCTGTAAACTGATAGTTAACTGAAGACCTCTCTTGCTTTTCCTTCTCTCTCTCTCTGCTTTCTTTACACTTGAAAGAAAAGTGAAACTGTTGAAATGCAGGGAGTTTGAATTCACTCTTGTCTGGACTATGTTGCTCACTTTAACCAGACTGTAATTAATTTCTTTGTTTATAAGGTGTTAGATAATGTTTGACTACACATTCACTGTGACATAAGAGTTATAGTTTTTGCTGGATATCTTTTGTTTAAGTGCCTTTTCACTGTTCAGAATTTTTAATTGAGTCATATTTTTCACAAATTTGGTACTCGATTCTTTCTATCTGTTTAACCTTTATACTGAAAGTAAAAACTCTGTAGATATTTAATTGAATGGTTTTTATACTTGAAATAAACTTATAGAGGCCATGCCTTGACCTTTTTTTTTTTTTTTTAGTTTAAAAGTCTAAAGTTGTGTTTATTGCAGTTAGTTAAATAGGCATTGAAGATCCTCCAGCTGACGAAAAGCAGCTTTATCGTGAGTGCCAGACCTCCCTTCTTAAAAGGTTTCATAGTTGCAAGTGAGAATCAGACTTGAGTCCAAGTTTTTTCTAATGAACTCGTAACAGCACATACTTACAACTTCAGAAAACACATCAGGCATATTTTTATCCTCAGCATCTTTTTTTTTTTTTTTCCGCTGCTCTGTCTTGGAGTTGGGAATTGGTTGGCATGAGTACTTAAAAAGCCTTCAGTACTGTTCCATTCCTAAAGATGTATGCTTGTAGGCATCTTAGATACAGTCACCCAGTGGAGCATAACATTATAATTTCCTAGCTTGCTATGTATGCTAAACTAAAAATTTGCTTTTTTGGGAGAAAGAAGTCGTCCCCTTCCGTCATGTGTATATTTATTCTCTCAAACTACAGAACTATTCAGGAGGTTTTAAACTCCCTTCTTGTTGGGCACAGCTGTCCTAATAACTTAGATTTGTTTTCTGGCTCAGTGCCCAGCTATTAGGCTGTGGGGAATGTTGCCATTGAATAATTTTGTAATAATGTTGGCAACTCTGAGGTTTTATTTTGCATTTTCTTGGGAGTTTAGCACCTGTATTTAGACTGCCCACATTAAGGAAGATTCATTGTAGTCTTGAGTGTACCCAGTACAAACAACACATAGTTCCTGTCAAGAATTTATTTTGGGTTTTGTTCTACATAATAATATATGAAGCTGACTTAAATGCTTGAATGAATTCTTTTCAATGGGAAATTATTCAATTCATTGACCCATAACAATTATGTTCTAAATATTTGGAGAAGTTTGCCCAGTGACCCAGTGCACCCAGTAAATCAGAATGACAGTTTTGAGTCCCGGTAGATACAGATACATCTTCTTCCTCTCTTATACAGAGGAGTGAATTTTGGCTCTGTGACCATGTTTACCCAGTGACTTGTGCCTACACTGCTTCGGTGTGGCTAGGATCTTCGGGATAGACTGGCCACATCCTTTCTGCTAGGTTCAGTAGCTATCTGGTAAGCCTTTGCACTTAAAGTACTTTGCGCTTAGGGCTGGCCCCTAGCCATTGCTACACTTACTGCACAACTGCACAGGAACAGGACTGTGCCAGATGCTCTTACTCAGTTGCTGTTTCTCCTGCTGCTTATGGTGCTGACAAGCCACAATACTACAGCAAGCCCTTGGCCTTGGGCAGGCAAGGTGCTGATGTGCACCTAGATGTGGCTACTGTGAAACTAGTGCGATGGGGCTTGAAGCAAACCGACAAACGTGAGCATGAGCGTGTTGCCTCTACCTGAAAGGCCTCGTAACATGAATGTCCCCAGTGGGGTTACTTTGTACAAATCGGGGATCCTGCCATGGCTCTGAGACCACTGATAGGTCTTTATGTTCCTGATCATCCATATGTGGGACCTCCACCCGTGCTCCCTGTGCCTGGGCCCAGGAACTCCATTTAAGATCAAGCCAGGGCTTCAGTCCCTGCCTGAGCAATGTTCAAGGTCTACCTGTCTCTAGCTCTGTTACAGTCATGCCTGTGCGTGGGCATGGAAATTGCCCACTGATCCAGACCCCGACCCATGGACAGTCTTCCTGCCTGGACTCAGATGTATGTCATTGCTGTGAAGATGCCTGTCAGTCTTGTCTATGTCTGACCCTGGTTACCATCACTGGATCTGATCCTGGCCTGCGGATTGATTTCCTGGCTTCACGTTGGCTCTCCATCATTGCAAGCTTGTCTGGTGATCTGGGCTCTGGATTGACCAGGATCACCATCCCTGTCTTTGTCTTGCTGCTTGGGTGACATGGGGATGGTGTCTTGGCTAGTATGGCCCCTGCCTTGCTGGTTGTGGTATCTCCCTCATCTTCTGGCCCCTGGGCCTTGGGCAGCCGCTGATCCTTTCTGAGCCCTGACATACAGAACTGTAGGATGTGGGTGTGCAACATCCTAACGTGTTGGTGCCTGTCTTCTTTCTTCTTCCCATTTCCTTCTAGGAAACTTTCTGTGTCAGTAGGAAGAGCTACCACTTCTACAATTTTTGCCTGTGTGCCCCAAGAGAGTCAAGATGAGGTTCCTGATTAAGTGTAAGAAGGTAAATGTCATTTGCCACCCATTTTCAAAGACAAGAGGATGACCCATAGAACTACAGGAGATTGGTCAGCCAGCCCGACTCCTGTCTTTGGGAAGATTATAGAACAACCCTCTTTGAAGCCATGACTACCCGAGTATAGGAAGGATAAGGTGATTTTGAACAGTCAGCATGGATTTACAAAGGGTAAATCACACTTTATCAACCTGATGGCCTTTTATGATGAGTTGGCAGGTTCTGTGGACAGCAGGACTGCGGAAAATGTTGAAAATTGCTCTTGACGTGGTTTCTCATAGTATTTTTGTAGCCAAATTGGAGAGAGATGGTGTGGGTAAGTGACCTACACAGAGGGTGGAAAATCAGCTGAACAGCTGGGCTTGGAGGGCTACTGTCTGTGATCAGTGATACAAAGTCCAGCTGGCACCTGATTACTA